TCTTGCGAAGATTTCGGAAGCCCCATCGATTAGGCTAATCCCATGATAATTACTGCACAGTTCGGTCATCCTTCTTGGAAAATGGCAATAATACTGAGGTACTTTACGAAGGACAGATTTCGGTTTCCCATATCGAGCAGAAGAGCTCGTGCAAATGGTCAAAAAGAGCTGGTAGACAAGATTTGTAGATTTCCGCTGGAATCCCGTCCGCTCCCTGAGCTTTCTTCGGCTTTAGGCGACGAACGATGTATGCAATTTCTGTGGGAGATGGCGGTGAGCAATCCGCGTCATATCCTGACTGGGTTAATGCTGAAATGGGTGCAGTGGTGTGTAGTGGATGGTTTAGGAGGTTCCTAAAACACTAACCATCTGGAAAGTTTTCCTTCCCTATCGAGAATGATTTTGCCTTCCGAATTGCGTAATATCGGCTGTGGGTTGGCTTGCCGAACAACCTCCTCGTGGTGCCAGCTGGGTGGTTTGAGATTTTCCCGTTCCAGCAAATGGTTCGGCGGCAGTGTTCCAGGACGTGGTGGGTTTTCGCCTGGCAAGCGTTCTCCCTATAAAAAGCCACATATGTCTGTTTAACAACACTGTGACGTGGCGGACATGACTCGCCACTAAATAAAGTCACTGTCCCTTGCTTCATCCTGGCGAAGCATTGTATTCCAGCAACATCATGCTGTACTTCTGGGGAGAATCGGGCCCCTGTTTGACAAAGGAGCAAACGAAAGGCGTATGAACTGAGCAATCAGTCACCGGCTCCCAATGGGCGCGATTACCTGAATTCGCTCCGCTGCCTTGCGGACAGGCTATCCAGCTAAAGGTTCGGGGTGGTGTCCCCTAAGTCAACACTCTACTTCGGCTTGGGCAACCGGGTAGTATCTCGCCCTCTGAGGAAACCATGGACATTGTTGTGTTGTGTTTTGTTTTACTTTTTCTGTACCTTCGTTTGAATCCCATGGTTTCTGATGGCATTATGTCTATTCGTAGACTTTTGTATATATATATATATATATATATATATATATATATATATATATATATATATATATATATATATATATATATATATATATATATATATATATATATATATATATATAAGATCGGCTGCGGCGAATAGCGCTTGCCGGAAGCTAAACGGACGAGACGATCCAGATTGCCAGAATTGTATGCAGCTTCCATGTTGCTTGCGATAACGGACCAGTAGCGGTTGCGATCATTCCGTGCTGAGTGGGTTACCATACATATCAAGCGACGGTAGTCTGGGGAGCTCATGAAACGTGCTTCTCACGCTTTAGCGGACAAGCGGATAGTAGCTTCAGTGAGCCAGTCCTTCACAGACTTAAAGCCCAAGGTAGATAAAACGGCGCGTTGAACTGACGATTTTAGTCTAGACCAAGGAGCGTCGGCAGATTTATATTCTGCAAGTACGAGGAGTGGTGCATTGGCAGAAACTTCTGCTTCTATTGCTGTCGCAAGGGATCGGCAGCATTCAGTATTTTCTAGTGGGACAATGTTGACAAGCTTTGGTGGAAAGGTCTTTCGGCGCGTTGTCAAGCGGAGTCTGAAATTGGCGCGCAGGAGTACGTGGTCTGAATTAGTTTTATTGCTCGTTTCAGCACCTCTGTACGCTCAGCACTCATCGATGGAGGACATCTATCGGGATCGGATTAAGATGTAATCTATTTGGCTTATCGTACGACCATCGTTGGAGTACCACGTCACAAGATGCTTTTGGGACGCTGGAAGCGAGTATTAGTTCCGCACAACCCGTTAAGATCAGGGAAGCTGAGCAAGCGGTCTTCATTATCACAGGGTCTTTCAAGAGCGTATCTCCCGAGTATGTGACGGGCCTGCTCGTTCTTAGGCCCGGTTCGTGCATTCCAGTTTCCAGCAATAATGATGTCGCGTTTTGGAACATGATTCATAATACGTAGCAACGAATCCAAGCAAAGCACGTCCCAGACCGCAGTTAGGCAAGAAAAGACAGTACGAAACAAAGTGTATCGGTCGAGGAAGTGCAACCTAGCTCACATGACACATGAGTTAAAGCATGAGTGAGGAACTATTGATCGGCCAATGCGAGGAAAATCAAGAAGAACGCGGTGTGGCTGAACTAACTAATCAATATCATTGACGGATGTAACAGTTCACCACTATCTGTAGAGTATCCTAAAATTCGTCTTTGTCACTTCTTGCTGAGGGTAGGGTTGGTGCGTAAACAGAGATTATGGTAAGATTCATCGGGTGACCGCTGAAGCGGACAACTGCTATTCTAGCTGATACTGGCTTCCAGGAAAGGAGGGCGTAGTGTGCCTGGAAACTGAGAGCCATGGCGATACCACGATTGACAGAATTATCTTCCGGCCCAGTGTGGTAAAGCCAATATGAAGTGTCTACACCAGGGACTTTGATTTGCCAAGAGCCATAGACGGGTACTCGAGATGCTGACAGACATGCTTTGTCGATCTGGTAGTCATGTAGTGTGCGCATCGTCAACGCTGGGCTGCCTACATCCAACAGGGTTCTGAGATTCCAGCATCCAATGAATAATGGCTGCCGGGGATTGAGGGACCCCGATAGGTTACTTGTCCCTCTGGTTACGGGGGTAGCGCAGAGCGCATCGCCTACCGAGAACGCCGCAGCATGAGAAGAATCGCGGGTAACGGACATGTCATGAAGTTTCCGTCCAAGCTTGCAAAGTATACACAACGCACAAAGCAGAATACATCGATCGCCCGTACTGCGGTCTGTTCGTCCCTCGTCCCTCAACACGAGGCCGAACGTCGAATTTGGGGTAGCGGTTGCATGCGTGCATGTCATGTAAACACACAAACTGGTCCAGCGGAGCCCATTGCTCCAGCGCGATTGTGTGCGTATTCACTGCCAAATAAGCTACTGTCCTCTGGATTTGTTTGCTCCGAGCGAATGATAGCATGCCGCACTGGACCGAACCTATTGATCGTTTGACTGGCTCATGTGATTTCACGCTTCGCGCGTGATTGTGTGCCCTCTCCGCCAAACGCAAGCGCAGATATGGGAGCATTTTCTGTTCAATATAACTTGCTGATTGGATAGTCGGACAAGCGTTACAGATGTTGGTATATCCCATGCGCGTGAGTTTGTGGTTGAAAGGTACTAGTCAGGGTTGAATTGCGGGGATAGATTCAAACATATCGGACACACCGTACTTGGTGCCGATTGAGAAGTCATGGTTTCAGAGAGATTTGTGGACAATCGGTTGGTTTATTTAGTTGGCCAGCAAACCACAAATCTCTTTAAAACCAACAAAATCATTCGTTTCCTACGATGAGAAATTCGGCACATCACTATGAACAGAGACCAAAAATTTTGGGATAATCATGGAACTCAAACCATGCAGAGGAGTTTCCGATAAGCATATGTCGATCGATAGGGTCTCTAGTGTTCGCGCAAGTACGGCTTGTTGACCAATTCGCCGTAAAGTGTGCAAGCTGCGGTATTCCAGTCTTAGTAAGGATCAGGGGCTACAAAGGGAAACTGATGAACTTGATTGAACATGGAGTTGTCGATTGCACTTGGGTGACGCCATGCGATTGTGAGTCGAAACTAGAAGACAAACAGACCAATGAATCAAGATGGAGGAAAACCAAGAATTAGGGGGATTGAAAACAGGGGGATAAAAGTGAAGTTAAAACGGTACGACGGAGATGAAAATGCGCAAGAGGGTGAATCAGAAGACGAGCAGGCTTGAGACTTATCACTCTGATCGAGGTGGCAGATACGGCGCCGTCGAATATCCTCTGCGACGGCCACAACATAAAGAAATCGTTAGAGGGGAAATTCATTGTGTCGCGTGGACAGGATACTGTCAGGTTGCTCAGGCCAACACAGGAGAACGATTAGTTTTTCCAACCAGCCTTTGATTGAAAAGCCTGGCCGAAAAGCAGCGGATTGCAGCACTATCCGTTTTATAGAGCCGAGAGTTAACCTCACTCGAACCCCCAACCTGGAAGACCAGGAGATAGATTGTTTGGCCTGTAACCACTAACAAATCTGGTATGAGTAGCTCTGAAGGTGCAAAAAGCAACATCCAGCATGGCGCACTGGATCTTTGAGGAACGAAAACCAACACAGTTTCATCGCGATGATCTCATCTTCATTAGCTTGCATTATAATAAAATGAGATAAGTTAACTGTAGTCACTGTAATTCGGTGCTTGGACTATAGTTGGACAACTGCCCACTCGGTTCACAACAGCGTCAAAACAGCCAGCTGATTCTACACTTTCGAAGTTAAGTAAAATATATGTCATGCTAAACAGAAGTGAAATCCAATAGTTCACTCCAAAGCGAAGCTAGCGCAAGGATGAAGATGGGGATAATTAGAATGAAAACGCGCCACAGAGATGAACAATGAGTGGTGGGTCTTAAGTCAACAAATTAAGATCATGTTTCAGTTCATACGTTTAACTGACAGGTACCTGATCTTAGGCGCATCACACCTGAAGCGTCAAATTGCCCACCACTTAGGTGAAAAAGCGTCCAGTAAAACTTTAAGAAGGAAGCGCCGCAGGGCGTATTTTCACATTTCGGTTGCAGTAGATTTAGGAAGTTGCCTTTTGTTAAGCTGCTCACAGAAGCCTACCCAGATCATTTTTACGCCAGGAGTAACCTTATGAGAGGACTTGTAGTTTGGAATCAGCCAACAATAGTGTTTACGATCTTTTGGCAGTGCGCGGTAGCATGGAGCCTTCCTCAAAATCACTTCTGCTAAACTACACAGTAAGAGGCATTTTAATTGTTAGTAACACTATATACTGAATCTCAGGTAAAGGGTTGACAAAGCCTTTATCTTCTGATGCGGGAACACAACACACGCCAATGCGTTAGTTTAATGATGCCGGATTAACTGATTGGTTAATCGGAAAACACGAAAATGCGGTTTTCGACTTGATCCGATGCCATGATACTTTGGTTGCGTTAAAGCTATATTCCGCCTGTCTTGCTCCGTTTCGTTCATGTTGAGTGTTTGACCCCTTTATCTGACTGATGTCGACACATGTTTCCACCGAGCCCCCGCATCTAGAATTTTGAGGAAAGAAATTATATCATATCTCCCAGTGGCAAACTATTCGCATGAACGATAAGCTCGTAGATGAAGCTAGGATGCAGTTAGAGATCAACAAAGTAGACAAGAGAGGAAGACTTACGCGAAGTATATCGCTCAATAAGGTTCCTCTTCCCGGACCAAGTTCGATGAAGTTAAATGAGGAGGGCTGTTTCAACACGGTCCATTCATTGACGAACCATATTCCGATAAGCTGAGAGAAACTGAAATCAAAAGTGCACTCACTTCTCCAAAGATCTGGCAAATATCGGGGGAAGTTATAAAATCGCCGCGCCTTCCAAACACGTCAGTATGCATGTAATAGCCCTAGAAGACGCGAAGTAAGCATACAAATTGTTCAGAACAACGTGATACGGGTTCGTGAGACATTCCTTCATGAATTCAGCTACTGTAATAGGACCGAGAGCGGAAATTCTCTCAAGGAAAAATTTATGAAGTCCGCCATGAGACAAAAAGCGTTGGATACAACCGACGGCTGCGCGCCTTGTGTATTGCGCTTTCGAGAACATTTTGCACAGGGTTGCAGTAAACGTTGCAAAGTTCAAATTTAGGTGGGACTGGAACGGTAGGAGAATCCCGTGAGTGTTCTTACTTGAGTGGATCGTTGAGCCAGGAATTGACGAGGTGCACGGAGTTCTTGATGGATCTAAAACGGTACACTCGTATCACACCCTGATCAACAAAATTATTGCCGACGTTTCCTGCACTAGCAGTTCCTGCTGTGGCAGTCACGTGAAGTAGGCAAAGGATAAAAAGGGAAATCGTAGGTACAGAAAAAGGAAGGAAGAAGAGAATAATATCAGTGCACGAAGGAAAGTAGAGAAAAGAAAATCGAAGTAACTCGAATCATAAGATGCGAGCTAGTCAAGAAAAAGGAAAGATTACGTGTTACCACCCAAGTGTCAAAAGGACGCTTAAACCTCTTAACCGTACAGTCCCTGATAACAATTTCCGGGAGCATGTTAGAGCGATCGATGGCTCGGCGTGACAGCCGAATTTCCGTCCTAATCCGATCGGACCGCGGCTTGTCCAGCTTCATGGAATGATCACGGAGAACACCATGAGCGTCGTCTGGCTGAGTAATCTAGCAGTGACCCGAAAAAGCTCTTCTCGTACCTGAAAAGAAGTACAAAGGCGGGTTGTGGCATACCCGCCCGCGAGAGGATGAAGCTATACTTCATGACGATGAAGCGAAAGATTGTTTTCTTTGTTAGATCTTCACTTTTCTCGCTATTCTGAAGTAAACACCCAAAAATGCTCCCAACAGTTCTAGCCCAGCCGAAGAAAAATCAGAAGTTCAAGGACATTGAATACGAAAAATGTGTTAACAAAAACGCCGCCAAAACGCTGTACGTCTACCTCAGACCGACGCCAAAGAGATAGGCGGCTCAATAACATTCGGATACTAGAAAACGAAGGGTAACTGGTAAAATTAACAGCCTTCCTGCCAAAACTTGTATGCTGGCAATCACAAGAAAGAATTGAAGATTCCGGAACCTTCGAAATCAATGCACAATCGAAGATAATCGGTTAATTACTAAAATAATGGGATTACCTTGATTTTTCTACCTTTTCCCGGATAGTTCCCCTCCTGAAACGGCTGCCGCGGTGCATGATGATAGCCTGATAGCCTATCAGTCCATTGCCTTGGCTGTAGTGTTCTAGATTCAAGTTCCATGCTCTGCGGTCTGGTATCATTCTTTTGATGGCTGGGTTCTTCTACGGGCTCTTCAGGCAAATTGAAGCTATCCGTCAACAGCTCAAATGGAAGCTCGGCAGATTCTGTTGCTTGTGGCTGACAGTGTTGTTTGCAGTTGGTTTGCATGGCGTACCCATACCTGCGTTCCAACCAGTACGTCATAAATGAAATTCCCGTGCTTGCCCTGGAACGTGCTTGGCGTCTATTTTGCGTGTCACTCCCGGTACTCACGTACAAGTACCGGCTGACCCGGTTTAAATGAACGTCACTTGGCACAATGCCGCTGATTGAAGTCACGTTCCATCTTGAGGTTCCTTTCACCAGCTGTGGGCTCTGAGGACGGCCGAATTGTATCAAATGGCACGTGAAGCTTTCGCTTCATCAGTGCTTCTGCTGGTGACATTCCACCCGGCGTTTGTGGATTTTGTGTAGATCGGTACAGAAAGAGGAAGCGGTCGATCACCTCCTCTGTCTTTCTCCCTCTTTGATTTGAGGAGAGCGCGTTTGATTGTATCCAGAGATCTCTCCGCTTGGCCGTTCGATTGTGGGTGGAAAGGTGGGGACTGCAAGTGTTTGATGGCGCAGCATTTGCAAGACTCGTGAATGTGTCCGAAGTAAACTGTGTTGCATTGTCCGTCACTAATGTTTCAGGGCAGTCGAACCTGCTGAAGATTTGTCGCAACCTTGAGGCTGTTGCGCTGATCATCGTGCTGCTCATGAGGGAGGTTTCGGGCCACTTACTGTAAGCGTCAACCATTATGAGAAAGTTCTGGCCGTTGATTGGGTCAGCAAAGTCGACATGAACATTGCCCCAAGGTTTAGTTGGTTTAGGCCATGAGCGGAGTTCAGTCCTCGGCGGTGCCCTTGTAGTGGTAGCGCAGCTGTTACAAATTCTAGCTAGCTGCTGCAGCTGTCTGTCCATAAACGTCCAGTACACATAACTCCAGGCAAGCGCTTTCATTCGGTTGAGCCCTAAATGTCCCGCATGGAACTGTAGCAGCACCCTTTCTGGCAACACCTGCGGGATGACTACTTTCTCTTAGAACATGACGCAATCGTTCACAATGGAGAGCGAATGTCTTCGCTGATAGAACTGCTGCATTTCGGCAGATAAACACGAATGTGGCCAACTTGTTCTGTGGAAGTGTGTAACCCACTTCAGGATTGGATCTCGAAGCGTTTCGGCCCGCACAGCTTCGGACGTAACGGGCAGATCATGTAATGCCTCGCTCACCAGGAATTTGACATCAGGTTCAATCTCAACTGAGGTTATGATGATGTCCTCATGTTCTTGCTGCTGGGAATCAATGAGGCGTGACAAGGCATCTGCCTGGCCCATGGAATTCGTTGACTGATAACGGATTTCAAAATCATAGCCCAGCAAGGTACGCCCATCGTTGGAGTCGATTGGCTGTATAGGCAGAAATTCCCTTCTTCGAGCCGAAAATAGCTAGCAGCGGCTTGTGATGCGTCAAGAGCTTGAAACAGCGACCATACAGTATCGTGTAAAAATTCTTCACAGCCAACCCTATGAATATGCTTCCTCGATCTGACTGTTGTTTCTTTCGGCTTTCGTCAGCGTCCTGACGGCATGTGCGATCGCCTTCTGAGATCCATCTAGGAACGTAAAGGAAACTACGGCACCGATCCCTAGACTAGACGCGTCTGTGGCGAGGACAATTTCTCGGGACGGGTCAAAGTGAGTCAGGAATGGGTCTAAAGCCAGCAATGACGACCCAATCGAACGCTGTCCGGCATTCTGAGGTCCAATTCCAGCTTTGTCTCTTGCTCAGCAACTTGTTCAACGGGGCACGTAGGCGATGCAGTTTGGGCAGAAAAGCGCTGAAATGACTAAGTAGGCTACAGAATGAACGCAGCGATTGCAAGTCCGCAGGCGGGGGCAGCTTTTGAATAGCTGGGATATTTTCTGGATCAAGGCGACGACCGTCTTTTGCAAAAAGGAAGCCGAGGAACTTGATGGTTGGTGTAAAAAATGTACACTTGTATTTACAGATACGGAAACCATATGATTGAATGTGTTCAAGCACTTCAGCGAGCCGCTCAAATAGTTCTGCCGTCCGTCTCATTAAAATATCATCTAGGTACGCCGCGGCTCCAGAAACTCCTGTGAGCATGGTGTCCATCAGCTGTTGGAAGGTGGCTGATGCTGTTTTCACTCCAAAAGAGAGGCGTTTGTACTGATATCAGCCACGATGAGTGTTGATAGTCAGCAATTCTCTCGAGCCGTATCGAACTGCAGCCTGGTTGGGATCCCGTTGATGAGCACAATGATAAATCGGCGGCGTGTTCTAGAATCGCTGTGAAAAGTGGTAATCACCGATAGTGATCCGGCGTCAGGCCTCCTAAGTTCTTCCTTCGGTAGAACTGCTTCACGTTTCTTGGTCGGGACTGATGGCAAAATTCTTCCTTGTGGCACTTATCACAAACGTGACGCTTGAATTCACAGTATCGTGCGAAATGCCATTCACCACATGACCAACAAGGTGTAGGCGGCTTGTTCGGCGCTTTGTTGAACGGCTTGTTCGAGCTGGCATTTCTTGCTTTCTGCACAGCATGAACAGTATCGGCAATGGTGGGACGACTCTGCTCAATCAGAGCGGTGTGGTGTTTCAAAGTGATCAACATTTGCATTCGCCTACAAGAGACTTCAATGTCAAAGCTGGATTTTGATCCAACTTAGCAAGGAGCCGAGTGCGGATTTCCGCGTCGCGTGGGGACTGTAAAGCACTGACAAATATGAGACAATTAAGCTGGTCATCTGTCAAACAGCGTAACTTGTAAAGTTCACATTCATGGTTAACCATGTCTGCTAGTGTCCATAATCGTCCGTATCCCGCTTAACAATGTTTAGACATTAATAGTGAATGCTAAACGACTCACCGAAAATTGCTTTGAGTACTGCCACTGCTTCGTTGAAGGTGAGGTCCTTCGGCTCTTTGGGCAGGATGTGGTCGACGAATCTTAAATGTTCATTAGTACCGAGCTTGCGGAGCAAAAGACGCACTTTCCGTGAATCAACTTGACGGCTGAAATTCGTCCGGAACATGTCCTTCCAGCGTTTGAACCACGCCACGAAAGTGCGTTCGGAATCAACGTCATAATGAAATTCAGTGAAGGAATTCGTAAAGAGATCAAGTGAAACACCTGTGTGTCCCGTGTAGCTACTCCGTTTGACTGTACGTTCAAGCACAGCATAAGATTTTAAATCAGTTTCATTTGTGTTTCCATCCGGGATTGTTGACGAATAAGCAGCTTTTGAAAATGTTTGGCGGAAATGTTTGTAACATTTTTCTGCTTTTCCGTCGCCATTGTTAAATCTTCACGTTTTCTCGCTATTCCGAATTAAACACCCAAAAATGTTCCCAACAGTTCTAGCCCAGCCGAAGAAAAACCAGAAGTTCAACGCGACATTAATTGCGAAAAACGTGTTAGCAAAAACGCCGGCAAAACGTTGTAGGTCTACGTCAGACCTACGCCAAATAGATAGGTGGCTCAATGACATTTGGATACTAGAAAACGAAGGGCAACTGGTAAAATTAACAGCCTTCCTGCCAAAACTCTGTATGCTGGCAATCACAAGGAAGGTTCCGGAACCTACGAGATCAATGCACAATCGAAGATAATCGGTTAATTACTAAAATAATGGGATCTGCTTGATGTTTTTACCTTTTCCCGGATATTCTTGCTCCGCACTATTCATCAGTGTATTCGGTTGAGGCCCTGGTATTCAACAACTATATGCCACGCATCCTACACGCTTGGAGCACAGAAATTACTACCAACATGGTG